GGTTCCCAAACTTGGCAACTTTAAGACTTGTGGACTTCAACTCCCAGAATTCTCCAGCCAGCTCTGCTGGGAGTTGAAGTCCACAAGTCTTAAAGAATTCTGGGAGTTGAAGTCCACAAGTCTTAAAGTTGCCAAGTTTGGGAACCACTGCAGTATATCAACGGCTACTTGTAAGTTGACACAATTTGCTTAGCTGATTAATTTAGTATGAAACCTCGTTGCTATAACCTACCTGAAAGGATACATCATGGTCTTGAAGTTTTGCAGTTGGCCATTTGTTTTATTAAGTGTATTTTAAACAACTTAATCTGTTTAAGGGAAAAGGTGGTTACGAAACTGGAATGGGAGAAAGAAGAGTAGAAAATAGTTCTTACCTACGCTAATGATAAATCTACACTGGTATGGGGCCATAAAAAAGATTTGATTTGATTTGAATGTTAAACTAGTTTCGAACTGCTGTCGTTTTTTTTCTGGTGTGACCTGTTTTTTTATTCATGCTACCTAGAAGGCATAAAAGTGAACAACTATTTTAGTGTCTTCACCTGGCGTTGCCAAAGCTTGACCATTTAGCAATAGCAATAGCTGTTAGACTTAGATACTGCTTTTAAAACCCACTCTGGTTTACAGAATCAGCATATTGCCCCAACAATCTGGGTCCTCATTTTACCAACCTCGGAAGGATGGAAGGCGGGGTCAACCTTGATCCAGTGAGAATTGAACTGCTGGCAGTCGGCAGAATTAGCCTGCAATACTGCATTCTGAACACTGCGCCACCATGGCTGCTTTTAATCTAAATATATTTTGCTCTAGTTCATTGTGTAAAGGTGTCATTCGATGATATACCCAATAACAAAGACAAACTGAAAATCTACGCAACTCGTTAGGTTAGCAATAAAGCAGAATGTGTCTGTTCCACCCTGCCCGAATAGTTGAGCATCTTTGTATTTCCATAGATCAAATGTGCCAAGTATTGGCCCTCAATGGAAGAGGAGAGTGCATCTTATGGGGACATTATAGTAAGCATAAGTGAACGCAAAGTGTGTCCGGATTACATAATTCAGAAGCTGCACATCAACCATGTAAGTAAGAACACCAAAACTTGTAAGAGTTTGGTCAATAATTGTAGTAAGTAAGGGGGATGACCTGTTCAGAACTGTTACCTAGCCAAAGAGGACTGAAACTTTATCCGGGTACTGAGAAACAAGATACTATCTGGAAGGAACTCAGGCAAATGTCTCTGCTTTGCTGCTCTGCTTTGCTGCTGCTTTGGCTGCCATTGAAANTCTTCACTTAGTGACCATTTTGCTTAACAGCTGATTGAAGTCATTAAACAAGAACTGCCTGAAATTGGGGAAGCATTCTGATTCCTACACTCTTAGCACTGCTTATTTTCTTTTAATGAAAACCATTTTAATTTTCAACAGAACCAAGTCCTTTGAAAGACTTTACCTTAAACCTATCCAAGAAGGGAAACAATATTGTAGATGCTTCTTGTACGGGACCAGATGAATTGAATGGACCCGAAAAACACTATACTTTAAAATGGGATGGCAATAATGAACAGACCAGCAACACTTGCAAATTCGAAGTGGACAACCTTTCTTTTTTGAAAACATACACTTTTCACGTAAGTTGCATTGTTCTAAACTTGAGACTGAGATTTTTCACTCCCCACCCCTCAAAATGCAGCATATCTGTCTGCTTATTCATCAATCAGCAAAGTCAAAATTTTGAGAAAATAATGAATTAAGTTGATGGTCTGAATCAGTCCTTCAGCAAGCTAATGGATTGGGTAAAGTCTGATATGCACGCAAACCGAAATCACGGTTTGTTCTTGGTTAATCTGATGATTACATTCAGGACAGACTGTTCTGGAATGGGTTGCTCCAGAATTATAGGAACAATACTTAGCAGTACAATCTATCATTGTCATTACTAGTTGTCAATTAACAAATAGTTTCCAGACCAAGTGTATCTTTTATTCCTTTGGTCAGATATAGTAACTAAATCCTTATCTGGCCTGGGTCACCCTGCCACCATTTTTAAACAAAACTAAATCGAGTACAGTCAAATTGTTAATTGAATCAATTAATTAATTAACAGCCAAGCATCCTCAGTCATTTCCTTAAAATTAACATGTTTCTGGCATTGAACGTTTGGGTTGCAATTTTTTTTATAGTATCAAAGTTTTCATCTTCCTCATAAATGAGGGCAGGGTGAAATATATATTTTCTTATTTCTATTTTGTATTTTTGAGTTGATTCTTATATCTCATTAAGATATTTATATTCTTATAAATGTCTTAATGAGCTATACTGCAAGGTTTCATATGGTATAGCTTTCATAGAAGATTTTGGAAAATGTATACAACAGTTCATTTTTTGTGCATTTCAGATTCTACATTAATTATTTCTTTTTCTTATCAGGTATCTGTTTCCAATGGAGAACATTCTTCAGATACAAAATCAGAAACAATAAGCACCAAATGTATGTTAACATTTAAAAAATTCCTTTTAATTTACTGATTAGTTTAATTTGCTTACTGAAAACACAGGATGATAACAAAATGTTGACATTTCCTAAAACCTTCATTTCATTTCATTTCATTCATACAGATAATACTAAAGCTGTCATTGGATTCTTGGCATTCCTGATTATTGTAACAGTTGTGGCTTTGCTTCTTGTCCTGTATAAAATATACATCCTGAACAGAAAGAACTCAAGGTAACTTTGTGAAATGCATCCTTTTCCTCTCCTAAATGTGTATGGCAACAATAGGAAACTGCACCCTGGTCTGTCCTATTCCATATGCCTCAAGCAGCTTCTCTGTTGCAAATGAACTGTACAATTATCATGGTTATTGCATTGTAGAAAATGTTGCACAAAATTATAGACAGAATTCTTTATTATTATCACAATTACAGTGAGTTGCACTGAAGGTAGAGACCAATGCCTTCCAGACTTTAACTACTTACACTTCCA